ACGTGTATCTTCTAAACCCTAGAAACTTGTATTTGTGATGATGATGGTACCATATTCCTAGTCCCTTATACGTGGTGGAGTGTTCTTACAAATATAAATATGTGAAAAGTAATTTGTTTTAAAGGCACTTTCTATTTGTCGAACAAATGGGACGTAAAAGGATGATAGGACATTTATTTTTGGAAATCTCTTAATAATATTTTAGTTATTGGAACTAATAGCCTAGTTATATGATACCGATTTAAAAGATATCGTGTGAGTGGGAAATGATTCTTAATATTAACAATTCATTTAACCATATACTATGACACCTGTGTATAAACTTCAAGTACATAGCTTAGTTTCGCTGAAAATTATTTGGTATTGATATTCATTGATGTCAAACCGTGGTGCTCAATTAGTATGATATTGTCCGATTTGGGCCAAGCCCGCACGGTTTTATTCTTGGGTGTACTCCACAAAAGGACTCATACTAATTGGGCTAGGTAGACTCTAATATACAATGATCCATTTTCTTGTATTTCTGATGTGGTACTTGGATTGTACCCTAACAATCCTCCCCTCAAGCCAAGGACCACGAACTTCGTGTCCTCGCCTCGGCGATTATCTTGATATGCCAGACACCTTGTATCGATGGGCTTCTCGGTAAAAGTATTTTTCTCAGACACGGAACTCTCTTTGATCCGCCAAACAGACGTGTATCTCTCTTGGATCCACCAAACGCAAATCTCCCTCGATCCGCCAAACCAGATGTAGCCCAAACGTGGATCTCTCGTGGATCCACCAAACCAAATGCAGATCTCAAATCACGGGGTCACCGAATAAGGGTCCCACCAAACTGACGTCCATCACCCCGGATCCGCCGAACTAGGCTCTGATACCACTTGTCATAACCGGGATGCTCAATTAGTATGATTTTGTCCGCTTTGGGCCAAGCCCGCACAATTTTACTCTTGGGTTTCCTACCCAAAAGGCCTCGTACTAATGAGCTTGGTGGACACTTATATACAAGGGTCCATTCCCTGCATTACCAATGTGGTACTTGGATTGTCCTCATAACAATCCTCCCCTCAAGACAAGGACCACGAACTTCGTGTCCTCACCTTAACGATTATCTTGATCCGCCAGACACCTTGTATCGATGGTCTTCTCGATACAAGGAATTTCCAAACGCAGATCTCTCTTTGACATGCTTTCCAGACACGTACCTCCTTTAATCCGCCAAACATATGCGGATCGCAAATCCTGAGGACACCGAATGCGGATCCCACCAAACTGACTTCTACCGCCACGGACCAAATTAGACTCTGATACCACTTGTCATAACCGGAAAACTCAATTAGTACGATATTGTCCGCTTTGGGCCAAGCCCGCACGGTTTTACTCTTGGGTGTCCTCCCCAAAAGGCTTCGTACTAATTGGGCTAGGTGGACACTAATTTACAAGGGTTCCTTCCCTTGTATAATCGATGTGGTCCTTAGATTGTTTCATAACAATCCTCCCCTCAAGACAAGGACCACGAAGTGTGTGTCCTCACCTCAGCGATTATCTTGATCCCCCAGACACCTTTGTATCGATGGGCTTCTCGATACAAGGATTTTTTCAGACGCAGAACTCTCTTTGATCTGCCAAATCAAACGCGGATCTCCCTTGATCCGCCAAATCAGATGTAGCCCAAATGTGGATCTCTCGTGGATCCACCAAACATACAGGGATCTCAAATCCCGAGACCACTGAATGAGGGTCCACCAAAATGACGTCCACCGCCCTGATCCAACAAACCAGGCTCTGATAACATTTGCCAAAATCGGCCTGCTCAATTAATACGATATTGTCCGCTTTGGGCCAAGCCCGCACAGATTTTTCTTTGGGTATCCTCCCCAAAAAGCCTCGTACTAATGAGCTTGGTGGACACTTATATACAAAGGTCCCTTCCTTTGTATTACCAATGTGGTACTTGGATTGTTCTCATAACAATCCTCCCCTCAATACAAGGACCACGAACTTCGTGTCCTAACCTCAACGATTATTTTGATCCACCAGACACCTTGTATCGATGGGCTTCTCAATACAAGGATTTTCCAAACGCATAACTCTCTTTGATATGCTTTTTCGACGCGGACCTCCTTTGATCCGTCAAACATATGTGGATCACAAATCCAGAGGGCACCGAATGAGGGTCCCACCAAACTGACATCCACCGCCCTGGGCTGAACCAGACTTTAATACCACTTGTCATAACCGGGCAGCTCAATTAGTACGATATTGTCTGCTTTGTGCCAAGCCCGCACGGTTTTACTCTTGGGTGTCGTCCCCAAAAGGCCTCGTACTAATCGGGTTAGGTAGACACTAATATACAAGGGTTATTTCCTTTAGATTACCGATGTGGTAATTGGATTGTCCCATAAGAATTGACCTTCTAAGTTGTGGCATCAGGAGGGAGGTCAAGGAGATGCAGGGTGTTTTAAACTTTAAAATAAGTTTGTTTCTAGAATGAATTTTTTTTTTATTAATAAATTCAAATTGTTGCATACTTTAACGAATGAGTACTTCTTGATTAATATATTATAGGCTAAGCCTAGAGTGTAGTTCTTGGTACCGAAAGTTTGGGTGAAATCTCATAAGAGCATACTTCCATCTAGAACTTGATGTCCATCCAACTTACCTACTTCATCCATCTCTCGGTCGCCTAGTTACATATGATGGTTAAATGATACCCAGACTTCACCATGTATAAATCAGCAAGCTCCTCTTACCATACATGCTTATCCTCCACCGGAATCCAAAAAAAGGGGATTATGTGGATTTCCCTAACGATATCCATCAAAAAACAACTATGTAATCACTCATTGCATCACATACCCTCCTCAACATTGATGCGTGTTCACTCGCCATCAACGGAGCCATTGGTATAACTGACGGGGGACACGGATGATCCCTAGGCAGTGACGAAGCTAGTGGATATCGGGGCCCACCTTGATTCGAGAGAAAAGTTAGTTGCCTTCCATAAATGGTAAGTGTAGGGTCATGCATGGTTATTGAGGGGATTCGCTGCCAGGGGAACAGATCTTATTCATACATTTCTTATGAATATACTATGGTGATATAAAAGTTTACTATGATGGTATGAATATACTATAGTGTAAAATGGTTGATACATGATAAAGATAATAGGAACACACTAACGATTATTTATCACTTTTCATCATCGTTTACCTCTTTATATGAGAGCCCTATGTTTAGTCTTAAAATTTGTTCTCCAAAAAATTTGTAGATCCATTAGATCACGATGAACTCGTTCTTTCAGGTTAAATTTTTTTTCAAAATTTGTGCAAAACGAAGGTGGTATAAAGTGGTAGTAGATGGTACCAAGATGGTAAGGAGTGGTATGGGTGACAGGAATTATCTTTTCAAAATATATTTAAAATAGGAATCATTTTATAGATCACAACAAACTCATTCTATTAAAATAAAAAGATTTTTAATATCACCATTTACATCTATTCTCACTTAAAAGAAATGGATCATATTTGATTATGCATAATGAAGGGTTATTGAAATTATCCTGACCTAATTTCTTATCTCAAATTTAATCATATCATACGAGCGAAATTATCATTTTCTCTGGACCAAAAACTTAATCAAATATTCATATAATTAGGCAGTGGTGTTCTTCAGGCAGGCCTCTTGTAAATTATAATAAAGAACATAGGTGACAGGATAGGCATCAAGCTGACGCCTGACGCAATGGGAAGGACCAACCCGGAACGGAGCCCATGAAAGAGATGGGTTTGAGGTCAGTCGTGGTCAGTTTTTTATTCGTGGTGGGCCCGCTTATCCTTCTTCTTTGCTTTGCAGGTTCTTGTGTTTATTCGTGGTCAGCCTTGGTCAGTTTGTGGCATGCTTTATAAACTTGTGGCATGCTTTTGAACTTGTGGCATGCTTGAGAAGGTTGTGACATGTTTTGTGGTTCTGACATGCTTTGAGAATGTTGTACTTTGTGACATGCTTTGAGGTTGTTGCATGGTTCGTGGTCCCCCTTCCTTCCTCCACTTTTCCAACTTTTCATAATACCAAGCGTGCCTCTCCTTCCCCTTTCCCTCATTAATTGTGGTCAACTCAGAAAAGTTATCCAAACAAAATGTTCTGATTCGTTGGAACTATTGTTATCAGTTATCACCATACTAACAAAAATAGTGTTAGAAAGCTAGCCTCTCTCCACTTTTTTAGATATCTCCACATTACTTCTCAAAATTTATATCTTTACGTAATAAGAGGGTCACGGTTAGCAATTCTTCACATTTCTTTTTGTTACTCGGTCATCCTTGGTCTACCGATTCACATATGAAGGTAAAGGGCAAGAACACTGCTTGCCAATATCGTTTTCCCTTTAATTGGATTAGACTCTTGTCGTATGATCCATTTTTAAAAGTTGTGTGACTAACCCCTTAGGTGGCATAAGTTAAGTGGTCATTTCGTAATTTGAACCAACTATTATATTACACATTTTTATAAGAAAAAAGAATAAGGAAATTGAGAATTGCACATCTTTGGGGGTGATGGCTATCTGAATTCCTATTCACAACCCTAAGTTTTTAAAATTTAACGCCCTAAATAACTAAACTGACAATTCTATCCTTATCCTTTGTTTTGAACCCTATCTTTCCCATAATCTGTCGTGCCCAAGAAAACAAAACAACAGTAGCCACCGCCGAACCGCCGAGACATCGCCCTAAATCTCGTCGGTCGGATGAGGAAAAGTAAGCCCAGAATCAAAGCTGAAGTGGGTTTTCACAGAATCGGAAATCCCAATCAATTCATGGAATTCCGGGAATTGGGTTTTGAACAGCGGGTGAGAAAGATTCGTCTCTTTTGGTTTATTGTGAGATAAATTGGATGAGAGAGAAGACGTTACATGCACTAGTTTTGATTGGTTGAAGTACAAGCAGAGGCTGCGCATCTGATCCGCTCTTTCCCCGTCGTTGTCATCATCATCCTCATCACCATCGTCGTTGTTCCAAACGGAAATCGCCCCCTTCCTTTCCCTCGATTATCCCAACTACTCCGACCCGTCGCCATTGAGGAGGGAGGCGCTCGTCGCTGTTCAGGAAGGAGAGAGAAGGCCATGGCGGATGGCTGCTGTTGCTCGCCCCGTCACCGACGAGGAAGGAGAGGGAAGGCCGAAGCGTTAAGGAAGGAGAGAGGTCTCCGCTTCTGTTGCTGCTCTGGCTCATTCGTTGAGCAAGGAGAGAGAGAAAATGGTTGGGTTCCCGGCCTATCCGGGGTCGGGTCATTGGTCTGATTGTTGGCTCGACCCGGAATGGCATGACAGTCTGGTTTTGTTTGCTTGATTTGCATATTTTAATGTCATGTTGAGATTTTCATTTAATTTTTAAATATTGTCATTTACAATTTATGATTAATGTATCAATGAATTGCTCTAATCAATGCTTAAATTATATGATTAGCAAATAATATTTATAATTAGACCTGAAAAATATAGAGAAAATATGATTATATTCAAAAATGGATAATACCAAAATCACTTGCATGCAACTACCAGTACTAATTTCCACCTCTTCATATTTTAAAATTTAAAATCATAATAACTTCAATCATCAAAAGAAAATTATAATGGAACAATGTTCAATCACTCTCGTCATTGTCATCATCATCGATTGGATGATGTCCTGCGAGATCGAAATACAATTGTCGCTCCAGCTCGTATAACAAATCCCAATCAGCAACTCTTAGCATATCTCGAAATTGAGACCACTGTGGACTAAAAGGAGGTATTAGTGTCATCTCTTCAACTTGGCGGACATATAGTTGCACCCAATGTGCCCTAGTAAAAACTAGCGTTATAACTTGACTAGGTTGAGTGACCCCCTCTGGCGCCGTTATAGGTAAGACGGTGTACCCATACGTCAGGCGCTTATTATACAGTCCATAAACAACAATTGCACAGTTGTATAGGGTTGCGAATGTCAGGAAATCCACCTCTTAACACCAATACTCTTGAGTGCAACGCCCAGCGGTTCGGCAATCCAACCTGTGATGTGCTGCCTCCAAAGATCCATATCTGTAAAGATAAACTCCCTCGTAGATAGCCCAATGATTATTGATTTCTGTGATAAGATTTTGCCTCATTTGTAAGTAGTGTTCCTCGTCTCCATAAATAACATTTGACATGGCCCGAAAACCACATTGCCCATTTGGATTTGGGTCAAACCAACCTCTAATAAGAGGGCGCACGCTGGGTGGGATGTAGCGGAGATAGGGACAAACATTTCTCTCATTGTGGACTTGCATATGCTGACTTTTCGAGACACCTCCTGTTGGGACAAAAAATAACTAATGTAAACGGCTACATACCAAGGAGTGTGATTACACAAAAAAATATAAGAATTTTGCTAACCTGCAGGAGTCGTCTTGTGTGTCTTTCTCGTGTTCTGATTTGTTTTGCTCCTCTTTGCCAACCGTGTCCTCTCGTGCTCAAACCAAGAAGGATCTCTGGTGTTCGACCTCTTTGGTGGTCGTCCCTTTGGAACCTTTGACTCCTTAGGCTCTAGTAAGCCTGCAACTTGTGGATGAATATGAGGGAGTAGTAATTGAGATGCCTTCCGGACTGCAGCCAGTCCTTGCCTATACACATCCTCCACCATGGCTGCAAAAATCTCACTTAGTCCATCATGGTCCTCCCATTTTGCACCATCAGGAGGACTCTCATACACTAAAGATGACCAGCATCACTTAGTCCATCCATCTTACATTTACATGGAAGACCATGTGTCTCATGTAGCGAACATCCACATCGCTGAACAATTTCTCTTGCTCGTTCTTTCATCAACAAATCAATTGCCCACAAGCTTACTTCCGTATTCAAGTAACCATATGGCGGACCGTCAGCTAATTTAAATACCTATTTAAAAGAACGAATTTCTAACTCAAAATCAAATTGAGTATGAGGGAATATCAACACAATTGAAGAAACAATGAACATACCTTCTAGCGCAAATCCTCTAAGTCCTTTCTTAGTTAAATCACTTTTCCCTCAATGGATGTGTGATATCTGAGAAAGAGAGTGGCGATCTTGTGGGCCGAACTGGCAAGCCATCTCTTCAAAGACAAATGTTCTGACTCTACCCTGTTTGTGCTCGTGTTACCAATATGGAAAACATGATTGGTGTAGCAATGAGCCCACCTTTGCGCACATGGTATCCACTCACCCCTCAAGTAGTTCATGAAGCGTGGGTTTGTACCCCAATCACTAGTTTGCAAGTCTACCCACCGTCGCTGGAACCCTCCCTGAGTGTTGGCATTCATGAGTGTCTGCCAAGGGCCTGCTACAAACGCCTCTACAGATTCTTGACTTGTCCCGAGAGACATCATCTTGGCTTCAATGTTCTTGTTCATGTGCCACACACATAGTAAATGAGCTGAAGATGGAAAGATCTCACGCAGGGATACACCCAACCCGCCCTCCTTATCGGTGACGAACGCATCTGGTCTTCGACCACCAAGAACATTCTTCAATTGCGATAATACCCAAGCATATGTCTCATTTGTCTCATCTGAAACCAATGCGAACTTTATGTTGAAGTTCTTCTTCACCGGACTAACACCAATCAACTGAACGAGTGGTTGCTTATACTTGTTGGTCTTGTACGTTGAGTCTATCAAAATAACAAAATACCATGCGCTCAACATCTTAATAGACTACGGATGGGAAAGGAAGAGTCTAGTAACACAACGATCTTCATCAAAATCAACCCCAATGAAGTAGCCAAGACGGTCAGCTTCTATCAATGTCCACCGCATAGAGGAAAGGCCACCCAATCTCTCACGCCTAATCTTTGATGTCTCATTATAAACCTGATCCATGTTGTGATGAGCATCATACTTCCTATTTATAAAACTTCTTATATCTCTCGCCTGAGTATGTGTTGCCTCCAACTCCTTAGTTTCAATTTTTTCCTCATTTGAAAGAGCGTTCCTTTGCTTGCTTCCTTCAGAATAGTGTTCCAATTTGTGATTGTGAAATCCCTTTGGCTTCCCATATCCGTCCGTAACGCCCAAAATTCTCCACTGACATTTTCCATCTACCAATGAACACTGCACCACCACTCGAAACCATGGTAAAGGAAACCGTACCAGACATCATACCGGATTCCTTTCTGGTATGGTATTTTGTGGTACGACCGTGGTTCAACCGTTTTGTACCGGTAAATACCGTTTTTCACTATTGATAGAGAAATGAAATGCGATAGTATAAAAAATATAATTCATCAAAAAAAGAACCAAATAGAGTATTATACAACCACGGTGACCCATTTTCAACATAGAAAAATAGCAAAATAATATTCTTTTTAATTATTTTCCACATATTGGACGAGAATATGGAGAAATGAAGCTGAATCATAGACTAGGAAACCGGATCGTACCGGCCGGTTCAAGCGGTCAAACTGAAAAAACCGGCCGGCACGGTAAAATCAGCACAATCAGCCCACCGTACCGCTTTTGGTCCAATTTCCGGTTGAACCGGTTGAACCGGCCGGTACGATCCGGTTTCCTGGTCTATGCTCGAAACTGACAACCTTGCTTGCCTGATTTTGATATGCGTCTTGTCTTTGCCAAATCTGGGGTATATGAGTTGCTCCTCTTACCATGGTTGCAATCCATATATATCCGCGGATAGTCTTCTCCATAGTTTCGCTTGGTTGATTCTACAACTAAGAAAAACCTATTTCTTTGGGCAATCTCCTTTGCCGCCGCACAAGCTTCGACATGGGTATCATAAACAACATCGCTTATGAACAATGATGTGTAATCAAAATTGTCACCCTCATTATCTCCAAAATCTCCCTACAATTAAATATGGTAAAAACATACAAGGTTAAGTCGTGCAAGAATTATGGTACAATAATGGAACAACAAAGAAATAGAGTACTTACTGAATTACTCATAGTAATCTCCAAATGAAATATTCTTAATCGAACTTGATTATCTTCGATTAGACGTCTTGATTTCTATTATGTTATATAAAATTCGTAGGTCTTACACCCTCTATTTATAGAAGTTGCAAAAGCATGAAACTAACCTTATAGAAATAGAAAAACAAATCCTACACTAACTAGGAAATATAATACTACTTTAACAAGGACTATAGCTACTAATTGAGCATCTAAATGGCCAAATTTAATAATTGTGATAGTCCCTTTCCTTTGAGGAATTATTTATTTTAATTGTTTTATTTTATTTATATTTAGTTTTGTTAGTTATTTGTCCAAACAGAGCAGATCCAAACATGCAACCATACCAGATCAGACCCAACCAATTCCTGCAATTTGACCTGACTCTCCTGGCCGGTTTCTTCTTGCTCCTACCATCGGTAACCAGCAGAGGCTTGAGTTTTTTTTAACAGAGATTTTTTCTCTCTTTGGCGTTCTCGATCGACGCAGCGGAAGGCATGACGGAGGCAGCCGTCGAAGAGCAAATCAGTACCTGATCGCGATTCCGGTCCAAAATCGGTTGTTCCCGCACTAGGTCTCACCGACTCTGTTGTCGACCTGATACCACCAGCAGCTCGTCGACACAGGGGAAGGAGAAAATTGCCATCAGTTCCGGCCATGGCCTTCTCTCGCCTTCCTGAACAGCAACGAGCGCCTCCATCCTCAACGGCGACGAGGCGGAGTAGTTGGGAGAATCGAGGGAAAGGAAGGAGGCGATTTTCGTTTGGAACAACGACGATGGTGATGACTGATGAGGATGATGATGACAACGACGGGGAAAGAGCGGATTAGATGCGCAGCCTCTGCTTGTACTTCAACCAATCAAAACTAGTGCAGGTAACGTCTTCTCCTCTCATCCAATTTATCTCGCAATAAACCAAAAGAGACGAATCTTTCTCACCCGCTGTTCAAAACCCAATTCCCGGAATTCCATGAACTGATTGGGATTTCCGATTCTGTGAAAACCCACTTCAGCTTTGATTCTGGGCTTACTTTTCCTCATCCGACCGACGGGATTTAGGGCGATGTCTCGGCGGTTCGGCGGTGGCTGCCGTTGTTTTGTTTTCTTGGGGGCGACAGATTTTGGGATTGAACCAACTGTTTGATGTAGAAATTGACAAGGCGGCGAAGTCTTCCTCGGACGAAGGCGGCGACGGCGTTAATACTAGGGCGAGGGATTGGGAATTATCAGGGGCATTCATGTCAAATTGCCTGGTTAGGGG